TACCCAGAGGTCGCGTTACCCAGAGGTCGCGTTAGCGGAATATTTTCCGTATTTGACCCGTTATTTTTTTTTTTTTAACTACATGAAAATTTAAAGCCCGTCGGTCATTTGACAGGTTATAATTAACACCCTCATGCGAGGACGTGATAGACTGTTCATCGCAGAGGAAACTAAAATCAATCAGTAAAAGAATCCTTTCTGAATATCATCTCATGGACACTGAACTAAATGCGTCTTTCTGACCGGTGTTATATCTTTAAAATTTCCTCTTCGGTCATATTTCAGTCCGTTTTCTCGTCAATATGCGAGAGCTTAGAACGATGCGCGCTCTGGTGAGAGGGGATGCAATTTTGGGCAGGCATGCGTTTCAGGGCATAACACCTGTTACCTTGTTACCTTTGACCTTTTACCCGTGACGCATGACGCAGTTAGATAAGGCGGCTAACTGGAGCTCAGCATAGCGAACGTTCCAGATTACTGAACAATTTTTGGTGAATTATATATTTAAAAAAACGTTTTTGGTGAATAAAGTGGAGTAGACTTGCTACTTGTCAGATGACGGAAAACGTTGAAGTCATTATTTACCGAATGACGTTTTATGACAACAATCATAACTATTCATGAAGACTTATTGATGTTCATGACAGGTGTTATGTCATGTTTATGACAGTGTCATGACAGTCTTATTCAACCCCCTTCAAATAAAGTGTTACCGAATTATCTCCACTGTTTGATTGTTGAGTCACCATAGTTACAGTCCAATGCTGAGTTTGTGTTTGGATTTGTTTGTTCAAAAAAACAAACGACAACAAAAAAATAATTATCTCTGACTGCTTTCAAGCTCATCCAATCAAACTCAACAGTCTCTCCCAGGTTCCAGCAAATCTGTCTTGACTCCTGTTAGTTGTGGTGACGTTGTCAAACGGGGTCCCTAATCAAATTCTGCTGTGTGAAAATATCCTAAATAGCTTTTTGAAATATGAGTAACCTTTCCAGTTTTTCCCTATATTTGATATATGACATGTAGGCATATCTTAATAATTCTGAACTTCTTTAAATAGTTTTCTATTTTACATGCTTTATTTTAAATTTATGTCAACCATTTATAATGCCCTGAACTGTGTTTCATTTTCAAGCATTATTACAGAACCTTCTGCCCAGTTTCCCCTCGGTTGGCTCTGCCCTTCCTCGTTCTATTTTCTCCAGCTGACATGGAGTTAAAAGAGATCTCTTCTCCAATCAAATTATGCCTGTTTTCTTCCCTTTGAGCCTGCCAGTCGGAGCCCAGGGAGAACCCAACCAAGAATATAAAAACCCCTCTTTGAAAGTGTCCCCAGATTCTGGAGGCCTTTCAAGTGCACCATCTAGATTCATTTATTTCTTCTTTCATGTTAGAAATTTGGTTTCATCATGGCAATTAGCCCTTTCGTGTCCCGACCAATTATTCCATTAAATTAACGACTCTTCCAAGATAATATGGACGGTAATTGATTTTTTTCTTGGTCTTTCGTTTTTAGCCTCGTTTTTTCTCCAGCTCTGGTGTGTGGCTACACCTCATTTAAAGGCCTTTTCTAACATATTGCCCTCATTAGCGGTTCAGAGTGAAGTGTATGCACTAGGCCGTAGCTTCATCGGCTTACACACTCACACACAGACACACCCAGGAAATCACAATCCTAGCTGTGTAAAGTAATTTGTCAAACATTGCCTTTAATGAAATACGCGAAGGGATCTGTGACACAAAGGAGCATTTCTTCACCCCTTTGTTGTTTCCTCTAAACCTTACCACCACCATCGCTGGTACTGCCACCCAAGGGGACTTTTAAAAAAAGGAAAGAAAGACAGAAAAAAATAGAACAGAAAAAGACTAATGTGCTAAGGAGGAGAAGAAGCAGAATGGGTGGTTGGCTGAAAAGGCAAGGAGTTGGGTGCTCATGGAGGTGGTGGAGGGGTTAAATGAATCATTCATTAGAGCACAGAAAGAGTGAGAGAGCAAAGGGAGAAAGAGGGAGAGCGATGGAGAAAAAGTGCAGCAGGAAGCAGAAGAGGAGGAAGAGGCTGTTCAAGGGGGAATGCCGTTGATTTTTCTGGCCCCGTCCGCAGAAGCAGGAGGTCGGTCGTTGGGGAGCCCAGGGGATCCAGGCCCGTCTCCTG